CAATATCACTACGGAAGTAGATTGCCCCATCTTCCTTCCGAAGAGTGGCTGGTGGGTTTGAACCGCCAGCCTTCTGGTGAGCAGTCAAGTGCCTTAGGCACTATGCTACCAGAGCTCCTGGAGTGGCACTAGGTAACCAAAACAACTATGTTACGCATGTTGGCCTTGATGACCCCTGAGACTATCTTCCTGAGCCCTGAGGCCCAGAGACTCATTCCCTCAAAGTGTTTGGTTATGACTAAGGAGTTTTTATAACTTTGGCCCCTATATACTCTATTCATAGATATATTTGTAGCATATATAAATACATATGTAGAAACATCATCTGTCAAACCATATCTATATATATATATATATAGATAAATAGATAGATAGATATAGATATACATATCCATGCGTGTGGTCCTAGTCACCTTCCTACCCCTGTTCAGCTTGAATGTCTATGTATCCACCTGTAGGTTGTTATTGCTGTCATTGCAGGACTGTGTATGTGATACTGTTTACCTTTGTTGCCTTTAACACTTGTGCTCCTCCCAGTGTCTTCCTTGATCATTTTGTGCTGATCTACCTCTTATTGTATGTTGCCTTTCCTTTCACCAAGTTAATTCCTGTCTACCCTCTCGTTAGTGATTTACCCTCCCTTACCTTCTCACCCTTGGTAGCCTTCAAAGAATGATTCTGTGTGTAGACCTTTTATTGACTTTTTTAGTAATAGTCTCATACAATATTTGTCCTTTTGTGATTGACTTATTTCACTCAGCATAATGTCCTCGAGGTTCATCCATATTAGGAGCTATTTCACAGATTCATCCTCATTATTTAACACTGCATAGTATTCCATTGTGTCTATGTACCATAGCTTGGTTATCCATTCATCCATTGAGGAACACTTAGGTTGTTTCCATCTTTTTGCTATTGTGAATAATGCTGCAGTGAACACAGAGGTACATGTATATATGTTCATGTCATGGCTCTGATTTCTCTAGGATATAAACCTAGTAGTGGGATTGCTGGACCATGTGGTATTTCATTTTCCAACCTTCTAAGGAAGTGCCAAGGAGCTCTGGTAGCATAGTCCTAAGGTACTTGACTGCTAACCAGAAGGCTGGTGGTTCAAACCCACCAGCCACTCCTCAGAAGGAAGGTTGGGCAATCTACTTCCATAATGATACCACCTCAGAAACCCAAGGAAGGGTCACTATGACTCGGGGCTGACTTGATGGCACATAACAACAACAACAAGGAAATGCCAGACTGTTTTCCACAGGTGGTTGTACCATTTCACAGTCCCACTATATTCCAGATATCTCTGCTCTTCAGCACTTGAAAGTGGCCTTTTGCAGCAGAGTTGTCCAATGCTATACATCGTCTGATATCTTGACTGCTGCTTCCATTGGTGTTGATTGTAGAACCAAATAATATGAAGTCTTTGACAACTTCAATCTTTTCTCCATTTATCGTAATGCTGCTTATTGGTCCATTTTTTGAGGATTTTTGTTCTCTTTGTATTGAGGTGTAATCCATACTTCAGACTGTAATCTTCATCTTCATCAGTAAGTGCTTCAAGTCATCCTCACTTTCAGCAAGCAGAGTTGTGTCATCACTGTATCGCAGGTTGTTAATGAGCCTTTCTCCAATCCTAATGCCATATTCTTCTTCATATAGTCAACCTCCTCAGATTATTTGCTCAGCATACAGATTGAATAAGTTTGGTAAAAGGTCCAACGCTGACACACTCCCTTCCTGATTTTAATCCATGCAGTATCCCCTTGTTCTGTTCAAACAACAGCCTCCTGGTCTATGTACAGATTCCTCATGTGTACAATGAAGTGTTCTGGAATACCCATTCTTCTTGTCATCAATAATTTGTTATGATCCACACAACTGAATACTTTGCATAGTCAATAAAATACAAGTGAATATCTTTCTGGTATTCTTTGCTTTGAGCAAAGATCCATCTGACATCAGCAATGATATCCTTTATTCCATGTCTCTTCTGAATCCAGCTGGCATTTCTGGAAGTTTCCTGTCAATATACTGCTGCACCAGTTTTTGAATTATCTTCAGTAGGATTTGACTTGTGTGAGATATTAATGATATTTTTTGATAATTTCCACATTCTGTAGGATCACCTTTCTTTGGAATGAGTACAAATATGGATCTCTTCCAGTTAGTTGGTGAGGTAGCTGTCTTCATATCTTTTAGCATAGCCAAGTGAGTGTCTCCAGTGTGGCATCCATTTGTTGAAATATCCCAATGGGTGTTCTGTCAATTCCCAGAGCCTTGTTCTTCACCAATTTCTTCAGTGCAGCTTCTACTTCTTCCTTCAATACCATTGGTTCTTGGTCATATGCCATCTCCTAAAATGGATGGACATCGACTAGGTCTTTTTGGAACAGTGACTTTATGTATTCCTTCCATCTTCTTTTGATGTTTCGTGCATCATTCAATCTTTTGCCCATAGAATCTTTCAATATTGCAATTTGAGGCCTGAATTTTTCCTCAGTTCTTTCAGCTTGAGAAATGCCAAGCATGTTCTTACCTTTTGGTTTTCTAACTCTGAGTCTTTGCACATTTCATCATAATAATTGACTTTCTCGAGCTGCTCTTTAAAATCTTCTGTTCAGCTCTTTTATCCTGTTGATTCTCCCATTTGCTTTAGCCATTCTCTGTTCAAGAGCAAGTTTCAGAGTCTCTTCTGACATCCATTTTGGTCTTTTCTTCCTTTGCTCTCCTTTTAATGACATTTTGCTTTTTTCCTGGATGATGTTCTTGATGTCATCCCACAATTCCTCTGGTTTTCTGTAGCTAGAATATGAGGTCAGTTGTGGCAAACAGTATCTCACCAGTCTTCTCAGTCTTCAGACAAGTGTCAAAGAGACATTTTGCTTCTATCTTCTCCAAAATGAGCAGAAACCCATGGGTGTGTATACCCTATGTGCTGTCATAACTGGTATGTTTTATTGCCAGTTTAGAGCATTGTTGCATGACATTGCTCTTGTTTACTGTTCTTGTTCTTGTTTACTATATGTTCTTGTTTACTATATGTTTCAAGGCTAAGGTAGTTGATTTAAAATTGGGAAATTGTTCAGTAAAATATTTATGTTTTATTAATCTATGGAGACATGATTAATGTTACATTCTGTTAACACAGAATGACAGCTCAGTTTTCAGAAAGTTATTTATGATCTACTTCACATACTATTTATTTTCAAGGTTAGAACAACTTTCTAACACAGTTAATTGGTTAGAGTGTATTACAGAAATATGTATTTCTACTTCCAAGTTCAGAAACTCTCTATTTCACTTCACATTATAAGTGACTTATACATAGCTGTTTGAAAAAATTGTAAAAATAATATAACAGTATAAAAAGCATTATAGAAGTATGTATAATAGTGACTTACATATATGTGTTTTAAGAACACTGCAGGATCAGATGTGGTTTGAGATCATACAGAAAACATAACAACAATGAAGATAAAGCAAATATTGCAGAAAATTGAGTCAATTAATTAGTAGTTTAATAGTTTCCTAGAAGTAAAATTACAAAATCAAAAGGGTGAATATTTTTAAGATTTTTGTTTTGTTCCAAAATTGCTATAAAGAAGGTTGGACCTGTTTATATTTCCAATAGAAAAGAATTTTTATTTCACCCTACTCTCTCTAACATTAGGCAATCCCCAGTTTTTCAACTTTGGCTCATGTAAGTTATTCTTTTCTCTTTCTGACAATCTGCAGGCTTTCTGTTTTTCCGTTCTTACCGAAAGTTTTTATGCTTATGTTTTTTTTTTTTTTTGGGGGGGGGTAAATTTTATTGGAGCATGAAATAATATAGAAAAATGCACAAATTTACATGTACAGCTCAGTGACTATTTGCAAAGTGACACATCTGCGCAGACAACAGTGAGACCAAGAAAAAAAAAAGTGCCAGCACCCCAGGAGCTCTCTTACATATCCAGTTGCTACCATATCCCTCAAAGGAAACCACTCTTCTGACTGCTAAAACTTGATTGGTTTTGCCTGCTCTTGAATCTTGTACAGTAAATCACATAATAAGTGCCCATATAAGTCTGGATTTTTCTACTTAATGCTCCTGAGATTCATATATGTTTTCCCATAGTTGTAGTTCTCTGATTCTTACTGACGTATAGTGTCCCCTTGTAAGAAATGCCCCAAGTTTACTTATTTTTTTTTTTTTTATTAATTGGCATTGGGTTGTTTCTATTTGTGGACTCATGAATAGGGTTGCCCTGAAATATTATAATTGTGAAGCTACTAGCTCGTTGTGTTTTAATTTCCTCCACTGCTTTTATGTTTTAAAAATTGTTCTTCATTTGGGAAGTATGAAACACTCACTGACATTTTTTATACTTTTAAATAACTTTGTCTTCAATATTTAACTATTAACCATATACAGGATTTTTTTTTTCATGAATGATGTACTATATGCAAATAGTTAAATGATTGAACCATTAAAATATTAATCCATCTTTCAGCCACTCATCTTTAGTGCAAATTTTGTGATCTGGAAAACTATAATGAAGATGCATGCAATTATATTTCAGTTTTCCATTTGTTCTACTTACTATCACATTTCCTCATTCATGTAGATTTTGAAACCAAAGAAAGTGTAACTAAAGAATAAAATTTTTAATGCTTAACTGATCTTAAATTTAATTGTAGATAAAGAATAAACACACACTACAGAAATATTTCTCAAAACATTTACAATTCATGCTGCATGCTTTCTATTTTTCCCATTACTATGCAGACAGTCAATGCAACTATCTATCTCCCAAATCGTTATAATGTTTGAAATTAAAAGGAATTCATCAAACTCATGATAATTAATCTAAATTTAATCGTATTTGTAATTAATTAAGTTATTAAATTAATACTCAAGTTTTGTCATTAAGAGTTACATGAGAAGCCCCATTAATATGTATGTGAAAATATGTTTTCTGGTTAGTTGATTATTTTGGACTGAAATTAGCATTCTACTCCTCATTCATATCCCAGATGAACTTCAAGGGAATATCTTTCATCTTCCTTTGGAAGATCCTGTCAAACCTTTCACTTTGATCCACAGTAAAATGATGTTTCCAGTCTCCAACTGTACCTAGTGGGATAAACAAATGAATGCACCTACATAAGGAAGTAGCATTATAAAGGCAAAGATTACCTCTAACCCATTTTAATCTCTTCTCTAAGACAAGCTAAATATCTGTGTTGGAGTTTGACACATCATTTTCCTTACACAGGAATGAGTTAAGAATGTAACTTAGGAATGCAGTGACACAGTAAATATAGTCCATTTCCCTATCTGTTACACATCTACAGACTACTACTATTGAATCATAATCTTTCTTTAAAAGAAGAAGAAAAAAAATACTCTAAAATACATTAAGAGATTAGATTTTTAAAAATTCTACTGTTTCAAGCACCATGCTAGACAGACTATATACATCATATAATTCTTAAGACACCCTAAACTTTAGATATTTTTCATACTTAAAACTGAAAACAATGAAGCTCAATGATTTTCAAGTAATGAAGTCAAGGTCACAGAGGGTACTCAGAGTGCTATTGCTACAGCTGTTCTGTATAAAAGATTGAAGCCATCCTGAAGCCAGTATTTTTAACTGAAATCTAGCAATTTAGCTCAAATTGAGGAGAAACAGCCGCAGACATCTATTAATCATCAGAACATGGAATGTACGAAGTATGAATCTAGGAAAATTGGAAGTTGTCAAAAAGGAAATGGAACACATAAAGATTGATATCCTCAGCATTAGTGA